ATCACAAAGTTTGTGTAGAAAATGATTTATGCAGTTTTCAGACCACGTTTGCTTAATAAAAGAGGCTCTAAACGATGTTATTATTGTTGTTTTCCCTGTATGGCTCACTTAAACCTACGCTGCGGCTGAGAAACCGTAGGTTCTGCACGCTGAAGGATAAATGGACTCACGCAAATTCGAAAAACGATCGTTTCTCTTGTAGATTTAGTCTCGTCTTTTAAATATGTGAGTTTTAAATGAGTTGAAAATACTTTTGTTTAATTAATGGGTGAATTGCTCTGGGTGTGCATTTGTTTATTCTGCAGGGCAACAACCAACAACAAGGTGAAGGAGACTGTGGCTCTGGAGCTGAGCTTCGTCAACTCCAACCTGCAGCTGCTCAAGGAAGAGCTGGAGGAGCTCAACAGCAACATGGAGGTCTACCAGACAGACAGGTACGCACACACACACACACACACACACACACACACACACAAAGTGGCCACGTTCATTAAACTAATGAGAATCATAATTGGTGAAAACGGTCAGTCTCATATTTCTGCTCCGGGTTTGCTCTCTGCTGCCTCTGAGCTCATTTCTCTGGTTGGTTTGAACGTTTTATTCTCGCTGCAGTCGAAGTTACAGTAAATGTTTTAATAACGTCACCGAAGCGTCCCCACAAGGACCGAGATTAACGTCCTGCTGCCGCTTCAGGTCATGAGCAGGATAAGTCCGCTTTCTGTCATTAGTGACCTCATCACGTGCTGTCGTGATGGACGGGAGGGGGTTACTCGTGTGTGTGTGTGTGTGTGCGTGTGTGTGTGTGTGTTAATACTGGGCTTTGCCTTTACTTATTAGTGGGATGAAGCACAGAGCTGGGCCCCCTGCAGAGTCTAAGATAAGCAGACGGGAGTGTCGATGTGACCGTGTCTCTGAAACAGACTCACGTGCACGCGCACACACACTCGCACACATGCACACGCACGCATGTCCTCATAGCGGATGTAAGATATGTACACACACATGCACACACACACACACACACATGCACACGCACGCATGTCCTCATAGTGGATGTAAGATATGTACACACACACGCACACACACACACGCACACACACGCACACACATGCACACGCACGGATGTCCTCATAGTGGATGTAAGATATGTACACACACACGCACACACACACGCACACACACACACACATGCACACGCACGCATGTCCTCATAGTGGATGTAAGATATGTACACACACACACGCACACACACGCACACACATGCACACGCACGCATGTCCTCATAGCGGATGTAAGATTTGTACACACACATGCACACACACACACACACATGCACACGCACACGTGTCCTCATAGCGGCTGTAAGATATGTACGCACGCACACACACACGCACACACATGCACTCGCACACATGTCCTCATAGCGGATGTAAGATTTGTACACACACACGCACACACACACGCACACACATGCACACGCACGCATGTCCTCATAGTGGATGTAAGATATGTACACACACACGCACACACACACGCACACACACACACACACATGCACACGCACGCATGTCCTCATAGTGGATGTAAGATATGTACACACACACACGCACACACACGCACACACATGCACACGCACGCATGTCCTCATAGCGGATGTAAGATTTGTACACACACATGCACACACACACACACACACATGCACACACACACGTGTCCTCATAGCGCTGTAAGATATGTACGCACGCACACACACACATGCACTCGCACACATGTCCTCATAGCGGATGTAAGATTTGTACCACACACATGCACACACACACTCGCACACATGCACACGCACACGTGTCCTCATAGCGGATGTAAGATATGTACGCACGCACACACACACGCACACACACATGCACACGCACACGTGTCCCTCATAGCGGATGTAAGATATGTACACACACATGCACACGCACACACACTCATGTTTTTCCTGCCTCTCAACAGCGAGTCCGTCAATGTTCCCATGATCCCACTCGGCCTAAAAGAAACCAAAGAGGTGGACTTCACTGGTCCTGTCCAGGTGAGGACCGACAACCCGACTCAGCCCGACCCAGTTCAGACAACTTGAGCTAGTTTTACAGTGAAACCTAAAACTCATAAATCCTCATCTCTAGATCGCCTCCTGCTGGCCGCTAGCATCTTCTCCACTTTACCAACGCCGTGTTTTCTTTACTGCCTTTGATTCATTTTACAAGCAGACTTGAGCTTTAATGCTGTTTTTAAGAGATGGATGAAAAACATGCATCAGTCTGTTTCATCCAACTTCCGTAAAATGCTCATGTAAATCACTCGGATTAGAAGGGTGCAGAAGTCATTGGTAGATAAGTTAATTTGTCTCTGCTCATGCAGAACAGGAGCTGGTCTGTGATGTTGTTGTCTCTTCTGTCAGGACTTCATCTCTGAACACTACAGAGAGGACGGCACGCTGTATGAGAAGGAGATCCAAGACCTCATGGAGCTCAGACAGGTTCATGAGTGCAGGTGTCCTCCTGCAGGAACATTAACCTTTAGTACTTTTTAGGTGTTAAAGGGTGTTTTGTTGGTTTTAGGCGATGCGCACGCCCAGTCGCAACCAGGCTGGTCTGGAGCTTCTAATGGAGTACTACAACCAGCTGTACTACCTGGACCAGCGCTTCTTCTCTGCCCACAAGAATCCGGGTGTTCATTTCCACTGGTGACTGGCGTTAAAGATATAAAGAAAACTGAATAAAGTTGCAGCTTTTGAATTCAGAAAAAATATAAAATGTGATTATTCGTCCTGCGAAACGAAGCTGGTTCACCAAAAAAGGCAGCAAATATTCAGTTTTCCCCTCGAGTCCATTTGAAGTTCTACTCATCCCCGGGGCGTAACCGTTCTGATCTCGTTTCTCAGGTACGACTCTCTGACGGGCGTCCCGTCGTCTCAACGCGCTCTGGCCTTTGAGAAAGGAAGTGTGTTGTTCAACATCGGAGCGCTGTACACGCAGATCGGAGCGCGACAGGACCGCTCTGCATCAGCCGGCATCGACACGGCCATAGATGCTTTTCAGCGTGCTGCAGGTACTCCGACTCACCTGAGCTGTTCTGCAAGCCTCCGATCATGAAATCAAACCACACAGCTGATAGTAGGTCTGACCGAATTCTGTCTTCAGGTGCTTTTAATTACCTTAAAGAGAATTTCTCCAACGCCCGAGTCTGGACATGAGCGCTCCGTCTCTCAGCATGCTGGTCCGGCTGATGGTCGCCCAGGTGCAGGAGTGTGTGTTTGAACGTATCACACTCGGCACGCAGGACACGGGCCTTACCTCACAGCTTCACCTGGCACAGGAAGCTGCACAGGTGAGTCCTTCAATCAATCAATCAAGCTTTTATTTGTATAGCGCTTTCCATCATCCTCAAGTGGGACCCAAAGCGCTGAACCCAGCGCAAACAAAACATAGAAAACAAGACACCAGAACAACTAGAATCAGAAAACGAGGTCAATAGGAAGCAAAATCAGATAAAACCAGTCACCGGACAGATTAGTTGTAAGCCAGACGATGAAAATGAGTCTTCAAACGACTCTTGAAAGCAGCCAATGAAGGAGACAGCTTAATGTTAAGGGTAACTTGTTTCAGAGGGAAGGGGCTAGAACAGAAAATGCCCTATTCCCACATGTCCTAGACCTGGAGCTAGGAGGAACCGATCCGCAGAGCACAATGACCTTGATGGTACTTGCCTTTTTAAACATTACCTAGGTATTTGGGGGGGGGGGGGGGGGGGGGCAGTGAAGCACGGCTCCAGCCTTCTGGATGTGGACTCTAAAGTAAAGGAGCATTTTTACTGTTGTTTTCATTATTTTACCGCTGGTTTCATCACGCTCATACAGACGAGTGTCGGTGAGCTTCGCTACGTCTGACTGATGCAGAGTTAGTTTTTATATCTGCAGTGAGACAAGAAACGAACCTCACTTCCCTCAGAGATTGTGTTTTTCATACGTCTCCTTTAAAGTACTTGATGGGGAGTTAGCTTTAGTTTTGTTTTTGCATTATTTAACCCGTAAAGAGAAATGTTCACTGGGCAAAAAGGAAAACTGATCGACTGACCTTTAATGGGGATGTTTAACCCTGAAGGACGCGTGTCCCAACCCACCTCAGACATCTGCTAGATTCATTCTTGAATCAAATATTCGAGTTTGAAAACCCTGAGTGACATTCTACCCATACATGAAAACTTCTACGTCCTTATTTTATTTCAATGTTTTTCTACGTTTTGATGTATTTGTTCTGTTTTCTAATTCAAAAGGATTTGGGTTCTAAAGGATTCATCACAAATTATTCTTATTATAATTTTTACTGCTCCCAAATAAACAAAAAAAATGCAAAAAGATACATTTTTATCGCCTTTTTTGTGGTTTGAAAGTGGATCTATGTAGAAATCTAGTTACTGATTAATTGTGTGTGTGTGCGCGTGTGTGTGTGTGCGTGGACGAGTGTGCGGGTGATTGTATGTCCACTTTGGAAGTTGGGTGCGGGAGGGGAACCGTAATTGTTAATTGTTTTATACTTGGGGGGGGGGGGGGGGGGGGTGGATATGGGATCTATGGGGCCATTTTAACCTGTGAAGCACTTTGAGTTACATTTGCTTGTATGAAAAGTGCTTTATAAATAAAGTTGATTTGATTTGACACGTGTGTGTGTGTACATGTGTGTGTGTGTGTGTACATGTGTGTGTGTGTGTACATGTGTGTGCTCTGTAGGTGTCCGATGTTTACTTACTGGTGCAGCAGACGATGACACAGCCTCTGATGAAGGACTACGTCCCGTTTTCGTGGGCGTCGATGGTTCAGGTTAAATCTGAACACTTCCAAGCGCTTGCTCACTACCACGCTGCTGCTGCACTCTGTGATCCAGTGTGTGAGTAGAACGTTTGGGTTTACGGCGTGTTTAGCCTCTCCTGACTGACGGTGTGCTCTCTAAACCACTCCAGCTCCCCGAGCTGCCAACATTTAAAAAAGCACCCTGCTGCATTTAGTGTGTGTGTGTGTGTGTGTGGATTTGACCACTCTCTCGTTTCTATCAGCTGATGGGGAGGAGTGTGAAGAGGAGGTGGAGAAGGCCTTCCTCAGTTTTTACACGAACCTTTCTGGAAGTCAAACTCTCAGCCAGATCCTACAAGACGCTGAAAACAGACGGAAGCTCGGTGAGTTCACGCTCTGCAGGAATGGCCTCTTCTCTGGAGGTGAAGCTAAAAGCTGCATCCGTGTCTGATTACATGAAGGTAAAGCCCACCTTCGGCATGCTGTGATGAAACACGAGGAGGCCATTCGTGTCCACAGTCTGTGTAAAATCCTGAGGAAGATGGACATCCTGCAGGACGTGCTGTCCCAAACGCACAAACGCTCCTTGGACAAATACTTGGAGCTGGATCGCGAGGACGACTTTGACGAGACAGCAGAAGCTCCGGAGATACGAGGTGAGAACGTCTCCAACGCAACAGGACGTGAAGTTCATATCTGAGTGACTGCAGCTCCTTCTGTTTGCAGCTCAAACTCATCAGAAACCAGAGATCACTTCACCCAACTTCTGCACCGTCCAAGTCACCGACATCTTTCAGAGACTGGTACGGACACTCAGAGAGGAGGCAGCCAATCACAAAACCCGTTAGTCCGAGCCAATCACAGCTGTTGCTTGTGCTGCAGGGACCCCTGTCAGTGTTCTGTGCCAGGGCCCGCTGGGGCCCGGCTCGTGTGATCTGCCTGCAGAGGAGAGAAGGCGGGTTGGGCCTCACGCTCAGAGGAGACTCCCCGGTCCTGGTGGCAGGAGTGGTACCTGGAGGCTGTGCAGAGGTGAGACAGGAAGCCGTTTAGTCACGCTGCAGCTTCTACGAGCCAGGCTGCTGCCTGAGTTTTGGTGTTTTCTGGTTTTACTTACCATCAGGATGGAAAGATGTCAAGACTTCAATCACCTCAAGGGCCACCGCCATCCTGTATGCCCATTATGCTCCTCTATGTAGTTTTATATAAAAATAGTAACTGATTATAGTCACGTGTTATTTAAAAGTTATTAAGACTGTCAATCATTATTTAGCATGAATTTCTGCTCCATGTGGGTCCACTTCCTGTTCTGAGAGCCGGTCTAGGGTCCTCATTTATTGAACTTTAGTAGAAACGGTCATTGGTCAAAATCCTGATTCATGAAACATGCGGCGGCCACTTGTCTGTTGGTAGATGTCACCTGTGCGTACCTAGGTGTTCGTGTCCATTCACTGTGGGAAAGCAGTAGCTCCGGAGGGAGAGGTGGAGGTTGTCCAGCAATCAGAAGGTTGCAGGTTCGATCTTGGCTTCGACCAGATAATGCTGTTGTTGTGTCTTTGGGCAAGACACTTGACCCACCCTGCCTGCTGGTGGTGGTAGGAAGGACCGTGGCACCTGCGGCCTCAGGCTCGTTGGTGGCTGTTGAAGTGGCAACCCCCAAACCTGCTGCTGGACGCTGGTGGTTAGGTATGCTACCGAGCTGAAGTGAGAGTCCTATCGGGTCTTTTTGCTTTGCGGGACTCCAGAGGCAGCTGATGAGTACCGGCAGTCCAAGCAGAATGCGGCTCGGGTGGTCGCAGAAGCAAAAACCCGGACATGGGAGGAGTTTGGTGAGACCATGGAGCTAGACTTCAGCATGCCTCCAAGGAGATTCTGGTCCACCGCCTGGCGCCTCAGGAGGGAAAAGCCGCGTGCTACCAACACTGTTTATGGTGGGGACAGCGTGCTGCTGAACTCTGATCGAGACGTTGTAGATCGGTGGGCTGAGGACTCCTCAAACCCACCGGCACGTCTTCCAGTGAGGAAGCAGAGTCCGGGGGCTTTGGGTTGGACTCTCATCTCTGGTGCTGAGGTCACTGAGGTGGTCAAAAAGCTCCTCTGTGGCAAGGTTCCAGGGGTGGATGAGATCCGCCCGGAGTTCCTTAAGGCTCTGGATGTCCGCTTACGCCAACATCGTACACAAAAAATGCTGAACACTAACTAGAAATTCATGAAAATTTTATAGAAATAAAAGAATCTTGTTTATTGGATCTTTGGTAATTTAAGACCTTTGGAAACTGTATTTAAGGATTATTTGTCACTTTCAAAGATTTTTAAGGCCTTAAATTTGGTAAAGCAAATGTAAGACTTTGTAAGAACCCGCGGATACCCTGTACTAAAAATGTTAACGTACAGCCCTGGCTTTGGTCACTGGACCTCAGGGACCTGCTGGGGGTGTAGGGACTGAGAAGATCACCAATGTAAGATGGTGCTTGTCCATGTAAGGCCCTATAGACCAGAACCAGGATCTTGAAATGAACCCTGAAGTTGACTGGCAGCCAGTGAAGCTGGAGGAGAAGCGGGGTGATGTGGGTGTGTTTGGAGGACTTGGTCAGAAGCCGAGCACAGGCGTTCTGAACCACCTGTAGACGGTTCAGGGAGGTTCTGCTGAACTGTCAGCAGGTGGTTCAGAATGCCTGTGCTCAGCTAGTTGGCATTGCTAGCTGGATCCATTCACTTACTGTTTTTTTATGCTAAGCTAAAGCTAAAGTAGCACAGCCGGGTCAGGAGAATGACTGGACGGGTTAAACAATTTTTTACCACTTATCTAATGCTGGGAAATATGTCAACAGACAAAATTTTCAGTGTTGGGGGATATCCCTTTCAATATCAGTTATAAATATTTTATGCCATTGTGATTTATTGAATACTTTTTACATATTTTCTGTTTGCTCAGGAGGCGGGACTAAGGGAAGGAGACTACATCGTAGCAGTGGACGGACACGACTGTAAGTGGGCCAAGCATGGGGAGGTGGTCCACATGCTGAAGGGCTGTAGCGACAGGGGAGTGGAGGTCAGCGTGGTCACGCTAGACTCACATCACACACAGGTAAGTGTTGGTGTGCAGGAGCTGCTGGGCTGGTGGGTGTGGAACTACCTGTCTGTGTGTACTCGCAGGTGGAGAGAAAATCCATCATGCTGTCTCACTGCAGCGAGAAAGAAAACTCTCGGCAGTGCCCGCTGGGCGGGGCTAAGGGCCAGAGCTCCGCCTCCTTGTTGAACTGGAGCAGGAAGAAAAAAAAGGAAGGGGGCGGAGTTGCTAAAAAACTGGGAAGCACTTTCAGTTTGTCATTTGGAAACCTCCGAGACACGGAGACGATGTACTGAGACGCCACTGTGGAGGAATCACTCAGGGACTCGCGGCCGAGGAGCAAACGGTACGACCGGCACCAACCATCGGTTCTACACGAAGAAACACACACACTGTTGGGAAGGGGGGGCGAAAAGGAAAAGCTGAATGGAGAAGAACATTTAGGTCATTAGGAATTCAGGCGGCTTTCCAGCAACATGCATAAAGTGGGCGTGGCTTAGCTTTGCTGAAGTGAACTGAGATGAAACCAATATTCAGATATACGAATTTCTAGCGGGACTTTTGCATCTGGCCCGGCCCGGCCCAGCGCGGCCAGGTTTTGCTCACATCATTTGCTCCTCACACCACAGCAGGGCGATGGCAAGCTGTTGTAGCATGTAATTCACAAACGCTTCTGTCTTTGAATATAATTTAGACTGGATTATGTTGCCAACCCGCACACAATAATATATATTCCACCATGACGTTCATACTCGTAGAAATGAATGCAGTTAGCATTTCCAGTAGCTTTTTACTGAACATGTTAATGAAATAATAAAATGTTGTTGATCATATGTGGACATATTTAGATGTTATTTAGACTAGGACGAGTGACATTAATACCACGCTTCAGTGTTACTGAAATGTACCACGTACCTACCGGGGCCGGGTTGGGCTGACCCAGATGTGAACATGTACCTACCGGGGCCGGGTTGGGCTGACCCAGATGTGAACATGTACCTACCGGGGCCGGGTTGGGCCGACCCAGATGTGAACACGTACCTACCGGGGCCGGGTTGGGCTGACCCAGATGTGAACACGTACCTACCGGGGCCGGGTTGGGCCGACCCAGATGTGAACACGTACCTACCGGGGCCGGGTTGGGCCGACCCGAATGTGAACATGTACCTACCGGGGCCGGGTTGGGCCGACCCAGATGTGAACACGTACCTACCGGGGCCGGGTTGGGCCGACCCGAATGTGAACATGTACCTACCGGGGCCGGGTTGGGCCGACCCAGATGTGAACACGTACCTACCGGGGCCGGGTTGGGCCGACCCAGATGTGAATACGTACCTACCGGGGCCGGGTTGGGCCGACCCAGATGTGAACACGTACCTACCGGGGCCGGGTTGGGCCGACCCAGATGTGAAAGCACCATAAATTCAATGTAAGCCTAAAGCTCCAATGGCAAATCTGCAAAACAAGCTAGGTGAAAACATGTTTTCACGCAACTTAGCAACGTTCTAACATAGTTTATCTATAAATATGTTGTGGAGAAATAATAAAGCAGTTCTCTCGCAATTGTCTAAAAACCTCAGCCAATAACACGGCTCGGTCCAAAACCAACTATTGGACCATTCGGTTGTTCGCCACACTTCCCTGGGTCCTCCACACACTCATGTAATCAGCACCAGAACATCGCTGGTGTGAGAGGTTCTCCGCTCTATATTATCAGAGAAGGAGAAACAGCCGGCTGCTACCACTTCAACTTTAGGACAAACTACCGGAGTCCCAAAAAAAAAAAAGAGACACCATCTAAAGTCACGGACAACAAAAGCCGTCTGGACCTAGAAAATGGTGACTGGTGTTTAGCGCCATCTCGTTTACTCTGAAAATGTGGGTTTCCATTATTAGGGGGACGGGATGATAGCCGGCAGGAGGGGCGAGAGTTCTGATACGGTATTAGCTTGTTTTGCTGATTTAGTATTGCTGCTTTAAGCCTGTGTGTGATAGGATGAGGTAAACAGAAGGTCAAAGGTCGCAGAGGTGAAGCTGAAAAGGTTACTCTTTACCAACCAGCCTGAACTGTAAATAGCGCCCTACAATTTGATCCACTCCTGAAAGATGTTAGAAAAAACTATTTTAGCTTTCGTCGATTCGACCTGAAGTTGAGGCTAAATCAGGCGTAAAGCTGAACTGAAAACCAGCTCTAATGCAAAAATACAGAAAACATGAAAACTTATGTCTAAGTAGATGGATCCATGTTCAGAGTGTACACTATATGATGCAACAGCTGATCCACAGCCAGACCTTCAGCTGCAGAGAACCTCTTTCTTCTCTGCCGTGGCCGTTTGCAGCTAATCAAACCGTGATGGGAGCGTTGTGTGTCTAGTCCCTTCAATGTTCTGGTGCCAAACGTACAAATGAAGGGGGCGGGGCCATCCTGTTACCAGAGTTTACAAACTAAATGAGTGAAGATGCAGAACTACGGTTTACTCCTATGACCGCGTGGCCTCGATTGTTCAGGAGCGGTTTCATCTGTAGATATGAGTAAAAACACGAAAAAGATCTCGAGTTAGACCAAACTTTAAAGTAAAATGTGATAAAAGAGAATAGGAAGTGTGAACAGATGTACACCATGAGATTTCCACTACTGGGACTATCTGGAAATTTTCTTGTTTTCATGGAAAAATGCAGAAAGTCTGAGTGGAAAACCTGGGAAATGAGCTGGGGCCTCATTTATCAAGCTAGCTTACGCAGAAAACGGGGTCGGAAAACTGCGTAAGCAACTTTTCACGTAATCTTTGGGATTTATGAAAGAAAACTTTGCGGAAAAATGTGTACAACTTTAAGTTGACTAAGGACCTGGCTTACACACCTGTTGGACATGGAGAGCACCTGCAGTGCTGCTGCTGAGAAGATACAATTATGAAATCCTGCAGCATTATCACTTGTACTGCTTCCTGTTCACACAGAACAAGACCCCCTGCGCGCACACACACACACACACACACACACACACACACACACACACACACACACACACACACAGCCTGAAACTCAGAATACGGAATGCAGGATATCAGCAGGGGGACAGATTGAGACAGAATGCCATGCGTCTGTGACGGTGTGTGTCCTGTCACTGACTACGTTTACATGCAGCCAATATCCGGGTTATGATCGGGTTAAGGTCGGGATTCGGGTTTCTGAGTTGATCAGAATAACCCGTTTACAAGCATAAATGGAAAGAGTTACCCCTAACTTGCCTAACCCGGTTTAAATGCGGACGTTGGGGTAGCGTCAGGACGTATGGACTACGTCCAGACGCAATATGCGTCATATTTCGCTGTCTCTGTACTTTCGGCCGTCAACAAAAGACATAATGTTCATACTTTTCACCAGACCGATGAAGACAGAGGTTTCGTCACTCCGAAAGTGTGGTGCTGTGCCGCGACTCGCCATGTTGCTCCCAACTTGTTTACTTCCGGTGTTCTGGTGCATACAAGACGTCTCGCTACTCAAAAGACCAAGATTCCTTGCGAACAGAGCATGAGCAGAACACACACTTTGATGGGGATATCCCGGTATGCGTTTACACGACCAAACATTCAGGTTAGAAAAGGGTTACCCCAGGTGTAGTAACCGGGTTTTTAAAAACCCGGTTATGAGCATATCCGGGTTTCTGGCGGTGTTTACAAGGACCTGCGGAACCGGGTTATTGTGAATATTCGGGTTTTAAAAGGGTTACTGGCTGCATGTAAACGCACTCAGTGTGACACGATTGATCATGCGCCCTGGCTACTTGGACAAGGGAGATCTCTGTTTGGGTGACTGGTTAGCATGCGTGACTTTCACCCGGGAGTCTGGGGTTCGAATCCTGATTGGGCCATTTTATATCCGCCACAGATCTCTCTGAGGAACTCAGCATTGACAGCTTCAGCAACGCTGTGCCACTCCGTGGATTTTCTCTTATTTGTTTTGCAAAAGCACTTCCTTTCATTTCTCCACCTCACCCACAGGTACCTCAACTTCTGCTTCTGTGAAATTGCACTTCCTTGATCTGCCTTGATCTACGGTCGCCGTCGTCATTGGCGGAGCGCTGCAACAGCCGGCTTATGCATATGCATGAGGTCCACAAGGCACTTTGCATTGACCATTTATGGCAGTAAGTGGGCGTGGTGAGGGCGGGATGTGACTAAAAAGCAGCTGAGAAACATTCTAGATAGTCTCTGATTTATGAAGCGGAGCTTGCGTGCAGCTGTGCGTCCTCCATGTTTGATAGATCACACACCTGCTTGGCGTAAGTACATTTTTTTTTGCTGAGCTCAAGTACGGTTTTAGTCAGGAGTCTACGCCATGTTTGATAAATGAGACCCCAGGACATGCGGGTGGCAGCCATGATTCTCAAAGCCATTTCTGTGGAATGCTTTTGCAAAAACCTGACACATTTCTCCGGGACATTGCATTCAGTAGTGCAGCTAGTTGTTCCGCCACCAATCGTTACGGAGATGTGGACATCGAGGGAGTTTGAAACGAACCCATGGAGGCTACAGATTTAGACACCAGCGAGCGCCTCAAATCAGCAAAAGCTCTCATTATTTAGAGTTTAGCCTGTAAAACGAACCAGTCTCACACGTCTACAATCGTTCAGATGTTTTCCTACAAAAATCGACTTTTCGCTCAAATATTTCTGCTTTCAGGTTAAACAACTCGACTCGTTTTTGTAGCGTGTAAAAACTCAACGTAGACTCTAAAAACATTTGATCTGACACGGGGCTGCATGATATTAGGAAAACCTGCGATGTGCGATAACGGTGATTTATACTGCGATGGCGATCTTACTCGTGATAAATAAAAACTTAACTCGGGAACAAAAATATTCAAAAACAAAGGAATTAAAAAATGACCCAAAAAAAATCACAAAAATGAGGAAAGCAACAGATGCGAGGAAAGGGAAAAAGAAGGCGATCAGTGGATCCCGGGAGAGCAGAAAGAGCAGAACAAGGCTAACTCTGGTGTTTGCTAACTATCTAAATTAGGTGCCGTCTGCCTCGGGGGCGGGCCTCTAACCTATGAGAACCCACCCAATTGGCCAAATGGGTGAAGAGCTCCATTTGATTTTGTTAAAAAAACATCAGTTTGACAGAATGCATCACGCGTAGCAAACACTTGAGCTGACCATTCATTGCGATATTTATCTGTTTTTTGCGATATGCATATTGTGCATGCTGATATCGCGATAACGATATATTAGCGATATATTAGTGCAGCCCTAATCTGACACTACTGATCTGAGGCCAGGCTTTAATTTTTTTAAATAAAAGTTAAAGAAACGTCCATGAAACCGATAATGTCCATGTCTCGGTCATTTCCTAGAATTCCTCGTTAGACTAATTCCTGTTTGTTTCCATGGAAGATCAGAATTTATCCAAGTGAACCCAGAATTTTACGTTTTTTTAAGTCTCCGCTGGATCCACCCGATCTGCACGACTACAGGAGACGGGAGCGTATTTCTGACGTTTTATTGTTCTAATAAAACTATTCTGGATCAGCTGAGGAACTCGATACGGACGCGAGACTCAGCTCTCACACCAGATGTGTGTTTAGTCGGTTCTAGAAACTGAAGCACTTGAAATGTTTGTTTAGGTTTAGACGTGTTTAACGCACTGTGACAACTCTTTAGAAGGTAGTTTTTGATGCTGCAATAACGAACAACACTGATGTGTGTTAGAAACAAACTGTGAAGCTTTTTTAATGTCCAACGTGCATGTTCACGTGCACGTCTTTAGTGCAGCGGTCGTAGCCGAGGAGGGAAAAGGATTTTTTATGTCTTTAATACGTTACTGTTTGTTTAAACGATGACGTCACCAGACAAATGTTTTTGTACATCTGATCATCTCTGAGGACTCCTCGGGGATTTGCACTGCATTTACATGTTTTAGATAAATAAAGCTGAGAAATGATCCGTTTCGACTGAATTTTCTTACCAAACTCAGCCTGAAGCCAGATGTTTCCTTTGATTCAGCTCTGGGAGGAAAAGAGCCTCTGACCTAACCACCAAACTTTGCTCCTAGGCTTCCTATAAAGCACACACAGCTAACTTCAGCCGCTCGTTTATTCATCCACATGGCTCTCCTGTGGCCGTGAGAAGAGTTCATCCATTCACCGGAATGGTTCCATGAGAGAAGGGCTGAGAAGATGAAGGAAGTCTCTGAAACTTTAAATGTCAACAGTTTTTATCTCGGGAGCCCCCGGAGGCGTCGGCGCCCCCCAGCCCGCTCTGCTCCAGCTCGGCGATCACAGACATGTGTCTGAAGTCTGCAGGATGGTAGTTGAACGTCTCCACCAATCGGTACGTCTCCTGCCTCTGAGCACCGTAGAACAGCTGCACCTGATTGGCCAAACACTGAGCCTGGTGGATGGTCTGCAAACCAGGAAGAGACGCTTTAATCTTCCACGGTTTTGTTCTGAAACGCTCGTTTTAACACACTCACTATGAACTTTGGGTCCATCTCAGCCGTCATCAGCACAACGCCCCTCTCCTTCAGGTCCGGGTAGTGGTAGAGGATCAGCTGACTCGGAGCAGTCTCGCCCAGCGTCTGTCTCGGGTTAGAAGTGTCAGGTTGAGGGTGGGTTGCCACGGTGACGGAAACCAGGAAGATGTGAATCATCTGAACTAAGTTGGAACATGAAGAAGGGCTGACGTTTACCTGAACGTTTATGAGGGAGGTGAAGTGGAGCTCGTGTCTGGACCACTGACCCACGAAGAACTCGTAACCGTCCTTCTGAGGCAGAGCGTAAAGGAACTACGGCCGCCAGCAGGAGACACGGAGAGAGCGGAGGTTAGGATGAAGATCTGACATCAGTCGTGTCACCCGGGACTACGGTAGCTCTTACCATGGGGCAGGTCTGGGATCTGCTGAATATCACCTCGTATGTGTGTGACTAAACATGACACAAGACCAGAGTTAGACCCACAGAACGCTCCGGAAGCTCACGGCTAACGGAGCTAGACAAGAAAAATATCATTTATGTAGATTTTTATTATTTTTTGCTCGTAATGAAAATCAACGATGTGGAAAATAATCATAACTCAAAAGGATAAAAATAAACATCAAGGAGAAAAGTTGAAGACGGAAATTTAGGTGTTTTCCACACAAAGCTGAGAAGCAGCAACAAAATCAAACAAAAGATCAAAAGTCCCACAGAAGGAAACGGAAAAACAAATGTGACTTTGATCGGTCGGTTTATCTGCTCAGGTGTTGTGCCGATGCCGATTTTCCCGACAGAATTCCTATTCCTGCGTCGGAAGCGAGCACAGTCCACTCCTGCTCCATCCCAGCTAATCAGACGTAGAATTAGGGATGTCCCAATTCAACGTCTTCACGATACCGATATTGCAGCCTTCAGTATTGACCGATACCGATATCAATCCGATACGATATCAGCACAAATCATACAGACTTTTACCTTTTTCAGTGTGGAATGTACGAAGGGCTTGATCCAGTGGTCTTACTCAGAACAGCCAGCAAATAAATGTAAACCTTAAACTTAATGTACAGCAAATGAATAAAAGAATAATACATTAAAAGACTCTGAACATATTTTAAGTAAATAAACAAAATATTTCTTTTTAAAAAGCTAAATACAAATTCAGGGTCACAAGTTATTTTTACTGTCAGCGAAAGATGGGAACTGCTGAGGGCAGGGACATAAGAAAAACAATCTGGTCCATTTACCAACTGCTACATGTTGAGGGTCCTAAGTTTCATTTTCACACAAACGCGCGATGAGGTTGGACGCATTTAACCTTCCTGGTTCTGTTCCACCACAGGGAACATGTGGTGCAAACGTTGCACTGAGCCACACCGCCTTTGTCGGACTTTGACAAAAAGTACTACCACACTTGTTTCTGGCTACTTTGCTAACACACCGTTCTGATCACATGGGCTGATAGAAATGCTGGAATGAAATTTAAAGCGGAATGGACTGCCGATATCAGACCGATATCGGACCCATTTCCTGATATATATTTGGATATATTGGGAACAGGACATCCCTACGGAGAGCTCTGTTTGACTTGAGATAACAGATGAAAGATGAGCTTCGTTGCTTTATTGTTCAGTTTGTGGGCGACAACAGAAAACGATACCAGCAAGCTGAACGTTCCCCGACATCACATCTCCATAAAGTCCCTTCACTTAAAGAGCAAGTCACCCCCAAATCAACATTTTTTTTGCTGATAAACAACATGAACGAGTGTCTAATCGTGCTGCAGACACGTGTAGTCAATCAATTGGAACTTCAGTGCATTTTAGTTAAATTTTAAATTTTCTGCCTAAAACTGTCAGTGTTGCGCCGTTGTCAGGTAAAAACTCTGCACTGTATTTGAATTTAAATCTGCCACTGCTATTGGCTAAGAGGTATGCTATGATGTAAACTGGTACATTATGATGTCACAATGCCGTTGTAAGCCTGTGTGTTTGTTAGCGGCTCCGGCCTCTCGGTCTGCCAGGCAACGGTATTTGTTGCATTTTTCAAACATTAAGTGGGAGTGAAGTAAGTCTCTTGTAGGGGGTGACTTGCTCTTTAAAATTCACCACAGGTTTGTTTCCAAACCAATAAAACACGGCTAGCTCTGACTGTTGCTCATCTCCAGAACGTTCTGTCTGCTGGAGACAAAGACGCACCTTCCCGAGCCACCAGCTGTCCACGATGAAATCTCGCTGCCCAATTTTTTTGTTTTGTATTTTAGATCACATTAGATAACTGAAGACTTGAAAAACAGGAACTCAGTATTTTATATCTGATTTAAACACATACGACAGAATCCGTCTGATGTTTTTATACCAGTTGAACACGTTTTACTGACGAACTCACCGGGATGACGGCGCTGATTGTGTCTTTGGCGGAATAATATCTCGTCCAAAGCTGAGAAAAAAAAAAAAAAAAAACAAAAAAACGTTTGTTACATGGAAAAGAAGAAGTAAACAGCTTCTATTTAAACTTGGGACACTTCCATGGTTCCACCTGAAAGGAAAAGAAATAATCTCCCAACAGTAAAAACTGTTTAAATGCAGATGAAATTATTTTAGACATTTGTGAATTTGGTGTAAAACAGACTTTAATGTCTTTCTACCATATTACATTTGAGGATGTTAGGCATTTGTATTAGCAGGAACAAATGAACATTGTTTGTTATTCCACTCGTCACTGGTAAGCTGGTCCATGACCCGGCTGGAAAAGCAGAAAACCAACAAAGGAGGAGTTGAAAACCACGTGGCGCAACACAAACATCTGGTGCAACATGAAAAACATCTGGTGCAACACAAACATCTGGTGCAACATGAAAAACATCTGGTGCAACACGAACATCTGGCGCAACACGAAAACTACCTGGCGCAGCAGGAAAACATCTGGCGCAACACAAACATCTGGCGCAATATGAAAAACATCTGGTGTAGTACGAAAAACATCTGGCGCAACACGAAAACATCTGGTGTAATACGAAAAACATCTGGCGCAACACAAACATCTGGTGCAACATGAAAAACATCTGGTGCAACACAAACATCTGGTGCAACATGAAAAACATCTGGTGCAACACGAACATCTGGCGCAACACGAAAACTACCTGGCGCAGCAGGAAAACATCTGGCGCAACACAAACATCTGGTGTAGTACGAAAAACATCCGGCGCAACACGAAAACATCTGGCGCAACACAAACATCTGGTGCAACATGAAAAACATCTGGTGCAACACAAACATCTGGTGCAACATGAAAAACATCTGGTGCAACACAAACATCTGGTGCAACATGAAAAACATCTGGTGCAACATGAAAAACATCTGGTGCAACACGAACATCTGGCGCAACACAAAAACTACCTGGCGCAGCAGGAAAACATCTGGCGCAACACAAACATCTGGTGTAGTACGAAAAACATCTGGCGCAACACGAAAACATCTGGTGTAATACGAAAAACATCTGGTGTAGTACGAAAAACATCTGGCGCAACACGAAAACATCTGGTGTAATACGAAAAACATCTGGCGCAACACAAACATCTGGTGCAACATGAAAAACATCTGGTGCAACACAAACATCTGGTGCAACATGAAAAACATCTGGTGCAACACGAACATCTGGCGCAACACGAAAACTACCTGGCGCAGCAGGAAAACATCTGGCGCAACACAAACATCTGGCGCAATACGAAAAACATCTGGTGTAGTACGAAAAACATCTGGCGCAACACGAAAACATCTGGTGTATACGAAAAACATCTGGCGCAACACAAACATCTGGTGCAACATGAAAAACATCTGGTGCAACACAAACATCTGGTGCAACATGAAAAACATCTGGTGCAACACGAACATCTGGCGCAACACGAAAACTACCTGGCGCAGCAGGAAAACATCTGGCGCAATACGAAAAACATCTGGTGTAGTACGAAAAACATCCGGCGCAACACGAAAACATCTGGTGTAATACGAAAAACATCTGGCGCAACACAAACATCTGGTGCAACACAAACATCTGGTGCAACACAAACATCTGGTGCAACATGAAAAACATCTGGTGCAACATGAAAAACATCTGGCGCAACACAAACATCTGGTGCAACATGAAAAACATCTGGTGCAACACAAACATCTGGTGCAACATGAAAAACATCTGGTGCAACATGAAAAACATCTGGTGCAACACGAACATCTGGCGCAACACGAAAACTACCTGGCGCAGCAGGAAAACATCTGGCGCAACACAAACATCTGGTGTAGTACGAAAAACATCTGGCGCAACACGAAAACATCTGGTGTAATACGAAAAACATCTGGTGTAGTACGAAAAACATCTGGCGCAACACGAAAACATCTGGTGTAATACGAAAAACATCTGGCGCAACACAAACATCTGGTGCAACATGAAAAACATCTGGTGCAACACAAACATCTGGTGCAACATGAAAAACATCTGGTGCAACACGAACATCTGGCGCAACACGAAAACTACCTGGCGCAGCAGGAAAACATCTGGCGCAACACAAACATCTGGCGCAATACGAAAAACATCTGGTGTAGTACGAAAAACATCTGGCGCAACACGAAAACATCTGGTGTAATACGAAAAACATCTGGCGCAACACAAACATCTGGTGCAACATGAAAAACATCTGGTGCAACACAAACATCTGGTGCAACATGAAAAACATCTGGTGCAACATGAAAAACATCTGGCGCAACACAAACATCTGGTGCAACATGAAAAACATCTGGTGCAACACAAACATCTGGTGCAACATGAAAAACATCTGGTGCAACATGAAAAACATCTGGTGCAACACGAACATCTGGCGCAACACGAAAACTACCTGGTGCAGCAGGAAAACATCTGGCGCAACACAAACATCTGGTGTAGTACGAAAAACATCTGGCGCAACACGAAAACATCTGGTGTAATACGAAAAACATCTGGTGTAGTACGAAAAACATCTGGCGCAACACGAAAACATCTGGTGTAATACGAAAAACATCTGGCGCAACACAAACATCTGGTGCAACATGAAAAACATCTGGTGCAACACAAACATCTGGTGCAACATGAAAAACATCTGGTGCAACACGAACATCTGGCGCAACACGAAAACTACCTGGCGCAGCAGGAAAACATCTGGCGCAACACAAACATCTGGCGCAATACGAAAAACATCTGGTGTAGTACGAAAAACATTTGGCGCAACACGAAAACATCTGGTGTAATACGAAAAACATCTGGCGCAACACAAACATCTGGTGCAACATGAAAAACATCTGGTGCAACACAAACATCTGGTGCAACATGAAAAACATCTGGTGCAACACAAACATCTGGTGCAACATGAAAAACATCTGGTGCAACACGAACATCTGGCGCAACACGAAAACTACCTGGCGCAGCAGGAAAACATCTGGCGCAACACAAACATCTGGTGTAGTACGAAAAACATCTGGCGCAACACGAAAACATCTGGTGTAATACGAAAAACATCTGGTGTAACACAGGAATGCTGAGAGAGATCCTGCCTTGCTGGCGTAAACAGAACCGGGTCAACGCAGCCTCCGGGTTTAAGCACCATCTTGTGTGAATGCTGTGAGCGTGCACGCTCGACTCCTCGTGCCCATCCATTATCACCATCACTCTGCTTTCGTTTCATCAAAACTTTTGTTTTTATCCTCTCCAGTTGTTTTAGAATTGTGATGACGATTAACATCTAAGCGGAGACATGTTGCTTTCCAAGTGCTCGGAGGTGTACCGGCAGAAATGCCGACTCACCTCTGCTATCTCCTCGCCTGTCTTGTCTTTGATCATCTCCATGTTCAAGATGGAGCCCAGAGTCTGTGGAAAGAGAACAATTACCAATCATCACCATCTTCACACAACTGGTCTTCTTCTAGTAGAGTCCAGAGCATCGGCGTTGAGATGAAGCTTAACTCTGCTCACCTTGTTCTTGGTGAAACCTCCTGATGCTTCGTCACCAGCAGCCATCTTGTCTCGTTTCTCAAACTGAAACCAACCCACAACAGAACTTAGGTCCAGCTCTTCCTACGCGACTAGAACCATCGCCACAGAATGACTCGTTTTTAATATTTGGTGCTGCTCTAAGCCTGGTTGATACTCCACCTCCTCCTCCATGAGTTGGACAAACTCCGCCTGCTTCGAATGTCCCAGGATCTCCTTCTTGGTGTCCTGCCGTTTCTCCAGGCGCTCCTTGTACTCCTGTGGTTTGGAACTGAAGAGTTCAGATAAAACATCGAATCATCAAGCGGCAGTTTCCTGCTCAACACGGCCTTTCAGTGATTTCATAATCCTTCGCCACATCAGTTAAATATTTTATGTCACATTTGTAAACATTTAAACTTTCGATTCCCAGAGAGCTTTGCAGCAGCAGCAGCAGCGTTATTTCCTTCCTCTTTAATAATAACTCTGCGTTTTACGGGTCATTCCACCCAAACGGTGCCATTTCCTTGTTGTAGTAAATGGTAAAAATGGCCTGTATTTGATATAGCACCTTCTAGAGTCCTGGAACCCCCCAAGGCGCTTTACAACACAGTCAGTCATTCACACCCTGGTATTGATGAGCTACGATGTAGCCACAGCTGCCCTGGGGCGCACTGACAGAGGCGAGGCTGCCGAGCACTGGCACCACCGGTCCCTCCGACCACCACCAGCAGGCAACGTGGGTTAAGTGTCTTGCCCAAGGACACAACGACAGTGACAGATTGAGCGGGGCTCGAACCTGCAACCTTCTGATTATGGGGCGAGCACTTAACTCCTGTGCCACCGTCGCCATTAACTAAATCATTACACATATCTAAATATTCAAAATGGGCCTTGGTCAGCCTCCAGAGATCGTACTTAAACCAAAGATGGTTGCCCCTTTTTCAGCCGTTACCAAAAGTCATGTGACTTTTATGAATCTGGTTTAAAGGCTAATAAACACATTCCACAGTTTCCCCCTCGGAAAAGTCTTTATTTTGACGGAATAGTTTATTACTAGAGGTGCTGAAAAAAATCGATTCGTCTGAATCGGGATTCTTATTTATAAAGATCGATTCACAAAGGTAGGGCTGTCGCGGTAACCGCAAGAAGAAAATATTGCGATATTAAGAAACCCACCGCGCTGCAGGACGTGCCACCGCCATTACCGCACTTGATTAAATCTTGCGACAGCGCATGCTGAGAGGTAAAGTCCGCGCTGATCGAGGAGATAGTACACATGGAAGATGGAGGGAGCGGTGCCAGTGCGTCAGCTGCAGCCCAGCCAGAGACCTTGGAGCAGGCAGTGCTGCCACCAGCGGCAAAGAAAAAAACGCTTGGAGACGTGCTGAAGTCACGGACAAGCACGTCATCTGTAACCGTCCCGAAGAGAGTTAGAGCCGAGCTGGAGCTCACTCGCTACCTGCAGGAGGAACCCATTGACCCTAATGAAAACCCTCTGACATGGTGGCACAACAAACATGGGAGATTTCTATTGCTCTCCAAAGTCGCACGTAAGTACATGTGTATTTGCGCAACAAGCGCACCATCCGAGAGGGTTTTTAGTGTCGCTGGAAATGTTGTCACCCCTCTCAGATCCTCTCTCAAACCGCATAAAGTTAACATGCTGGTTTTCCTCGCGCGTAACAAGGACTTGACCGAGTTATAAATCCCAGTGTGTGAAAGTGAAATGACAGTGCCTAGGACATCTCATTTTGTATACTTTATTTTAAACTACAAAACAAAACGGGCACTTTTTTTATTTCTGTTATATGTTGCAGCCATATTTGCATTTCAAAATTAAACCTCCTGAATGTTGTTTTTAAGTTCAGTCAGAAAATGCCGTAAGTGCCCTTCGATCTGCATTCAATAAAGTGTTAAAAATGGCCATGTATTTTTTCTAACATTTTTTAAATATGTAAGCACAACGTTTCAAAGGAAATATTGCCATGAGTTTAGTAATCAACAAACAAATTTGCTAAGTACATAAATAAAAACGGGGTGCAATAATATCGCATACCGCAATATTGAGCTGCCCTGACTCACCGCAGGGGGAGTTCCTCAGTCGCGACAGCCCTACACAAAGATTCAGAATCGATTCCAAGAACTCAAATATTTGGCACGTTACAGGTTTGAGATGCACTTTTTTTATCTTTGTTAGGAGAGTCAGTACTCCGTTTACTTTTGTGGTCCCATAAATTGAGATGATTTATGTTTGAATCTGCTGATAAGAGGACACTTGAATGTCATTTTTTCCATACTCAGAAATTTGAGATATTCTCATATTTATTTTCTAAGTTGATAAATGAGTACTCAGGATTACTCATGTAACTTGTTTCTACACATGCTTGAAAAGTATTTGACCGTATTGCTTTCAAAGCTACTGTTAGGTAACTACAGATTTGTTATATTTTACAAGATAAGCAAAAATAAATGTTGCCTTTTGGTCAAAAGATTGTTTTTGTTTACAGTTTTAGAATCACCTTTGTTTACCTTGTAAATCTGCATTTTTGGAGCATGACCAGTTTGCCGAAAGGCAAAATCTCGGGCGTGGGAGGAGTTTGGTGAGGCCATGGAGAAAGACTATCGATCGGCTCCAAAGAGGTTCTGGCAAACTGTCCGGCGCCTCAGGAGAGGAAGGCAGCAACTCGCTCACACTGTTTACAGTGGGGATGGGGAGCTGCTGACGTCAAATGAGGCTATAGTCGGACGGTGGAAGGAATACTTTGAGGAGCTCCTCAATCCCACCAATGCGCATTCCGAGGAGGAACCAGAGCTGGGAGGCCTGGGGATGGACTGTCCGATCTCGGGGGCAGAAGTTGCTGAGGTAGTCAAACAACTACACAGCGGCGGAGCCCCGGGGGCGGATGAGGTTCGTCCTGGGTATCTCAAGGCTATGGATGTTGTAGGGCTGTCATGGTTGACACGTCTCTACAACATTGCGTGGTCATCGGGGGCAGTTCCTAGGGAGTGGCAGACCGGGGTGGTGGTCCCCATCTTTAAGAAGGGTGACCTGAGGGTGTGTTCCAACTATAGGGGGATCACACTCCTCAGCCTCCCTGGAAAGGTCTACGCCAAGGTACTGGAGAGGAGGGTCCGATCGATAGTTGAATCTCAGATAGAGGAGGAGCAATGTGGTTTTCGTCCTGGCCGTGGAACTGTGGACCAGCTCTATACCCTTGCAAGGGTGATGGAGGGGGCATGGGAGTTTGCCCAACCAATCCACATGTGCTTTGTGGATTTGGAGAAGGCTTATGACCGTGTCCCCAGGGGCACCCTGTGGGGGACGCTCCAGGAGTATGGGGTGGGTGGTTTTCTGTTAAGGGCCATTCAGTCCCTTTACCAGAGGAGCGTGAGTTTGGTCCGCATAGCCGGTAGTAAGTCCGACCTGTTCCCAGTGAGGGTTGGACTCCGCCAGGGCTGCCCTTTGTCACCGGTTCTGTTCATCACTTTTATGGACAGAATTTCTAGACGCAGCCGTGGTGTGGAGTGTGTCGAGTTTGGTGGCAGGAGAATCTCGTCTCTGCTTTTTGCGGATGATGTGGTCCTCCTAGCTTCATCCAGCTCTGACCTTCAGCTCTTGCTGGGTAGGTTCGCGGCCGAATGTGAAGCGGCTGGGATGAGGATCAGCACCTCCAAATCTGAGACCATGGTTCTCGACCGGAAAAGGGTGGCTTGCCACCTCCGGGTCGGGGGAGAGGTCCTACCTCAAGTGGAGGAGTTTAAGTATCTCGGGGTCTTGTTCACGAGTGAGGGTAGGAGGGATCGGGAGATCGACAGGCGGATTGGTTCGGCGTCTGCAGTGATGCGGACGCTGAGCCGATCTGTCGTGGGGAAGAGGGAGCTGAGCCAGAAAGCCAGGCTCTCGATTTACCGGTCGATCTACGTCCCAATCCTCACCTATGGTCATGAGCTTTGGGTAATGACCGAAAGAACGAGATCGCGGATACAATCGGCCCAAATGAGTTTCCTCCGCAGGGTGGCCGGGCTCAGCCTTAGAGATAGGGTGAGGAGCTCGGACATTCGGGAGGGACTCGGAGTAGAACCGTTGCTCCTCCGGATCGAAAGGAGCCAGTTGAGGTGGTTTGGGCATCTGGTCAGGATGCCTCCTGGACGCCTCCCCGGGGAGGTGTTTCGGGCATGTCCTGCCGGCAGAAGGCCCCCGGGTCGACCCAGGACACGTTGGAGAGGTTACATCTCCAATCTGGTCCGGGAACGCCTTGGGGTCCTGCCGGAGGAGCTGGTGGACAAGGCCGGGGAGAGGACGGCCTGGAGCTCCCTAATTGGGATGCTGCCCCCGCGACCCGGACCCGGATAAGCGGAGGAAGACGAAGACGAAGACCAGTTTAAAGTCAAATAAAAATGTCCCATAGCTTTAACTAACTTGTACAACAAAGTAGTTCATCCTGGAGCTGACACGCTTTGTTAATACTGGTTGTGAATCGAGTTAAATCGAGAATCGATTCTGAATCGAATCGGCACCCCGAGAATCGGAATCGAATCAAATCGTGAGTTTCTCCAAGATTCACATCCCTGTTTATTACGTGTTCATTCGTTTATTTAGACCTAAAATTCCTTGCATGGAAACCACAACGGGTTTTCCACGGATGCATGTATTAATCCAAAGACATAAAAAGCTCAACCTCATGTAATTTATTTATTATACAGATGGAGCAAAAACAACTGCAGGAAGTAGCTTACTATTGTTTGTAATAGAAACAAACAAGACTGGCTGCTGAGGTTGTCAGAGCCGAAGCCTTCTCTTGTTTATCCCAGACCTTCTTCCAATCCCGGAGAGGCTGTGACTTGCTTCAAAAGTAGGATGATGCGCAGAGATGCCACCATACATCTTTGCACGACGGCCAGAAAACCTTGTTGACCCCAATTTTGTGCAAGTCACAAACTTCCACGTGTTTCACTCCTGAATACAGGTCACCACCATTCTCCACCACACACACCAGTCTGTGTGTGCTGTCTGTCAGCGGGAAAGCATTCACAGGTCAGAATTGGTTTTGTGCACAAGCCGCTGACCTATGCCAGGTCTCTGTGAGCCAGGGTCACTGCCTGGTGTTCCCTTTCTCGACCATTTCCTTGTTGACTAAAAACAACTTTATTGCCGTTTCTGTCTTTTGCAAAACGGCAAACATCTGTGCAGCATCAGGAATGCCAATCCCTTTGCTCACCACACTGTCAGCCTTCCTTTTAAGGTGCACCGTCGCCGTAGCTCGTAGCCCACGTGACAGCTGTGAGTCCTCGTTTAAGCAGCTCAGCTGAAATCAGAATAAATTCCCTCATTTGCAAAACCAAAAGAGCAAAATGTTGCTCCGACTCTGCTTTAGTGCAGCAGAAATGTTACAGTATTGTGACGTGATCTCATCTTGTGTTTACTACAGCATCCTTCACTCCGGTGCACAGATCAATAAGATGGGATGTCTTTAAAAAGAGTGAGGCTGTAGCATACAGCTTGCTCTTTCTTACCAAAAATTAGTATTTATGTTGCGACGAGGGCAACAGTAGCACAGGAGTTAAATCAAAAGGTTGCAGGTTCGAGCCCCACGCAGTCTGTTGTTGTTGTGTCCATGGGCAAGACACTTAACCCACCTTGCCTGCTGGTGGTGGTCGGAGGGACCGGCGGCGCCTGTGTGTGGCAGACTCGCCTCTGTCAGTGTGGACCAGGACAGCTGTGGCTACAATGTAGCTCATCACCACCAGGGTGTGAATGACTGATTGTGTTGTAAAGCACCTTGGGGGACTCGAGGGCTCTAGAAGGTGCTATATCAAATACAGGCCATTTACCATTTGATATTAGGTTTTAATGGGGTTTTTCCGGAACTGCGCTGCTCTGGGTGGCTGCATGTTGGAATAGCTCTGTTGACTATATGTAAGTTTTGCCTTTTTTTGGACATTTTTTCTTCTAGTTTCTCAAGAAAAACTGCATTTTTTTGGACACTACTTTTCTGTTTCTGGTGCTGTGAAGCTTGGAGGACTTTTACTGCAATTTTTAAGCTTTTTTTCACTTTTTGAACATTTGTTTTGATGTGTAACCATGGCAACAAGCTGTTTACAATCGGGAGCAGATGATTAACACTGGAAAGGCTGAAATAATACCTCAACTGAAGCCACAAATCCCAAATGAGCTAAAACGCAAGAAGCGTGGGTGCAGAGCGGGAGCAAAACGGAGACAGAGAAAGAGGAAATTCAAACCATCTCTTCCATCGATCATAATGGGCGATGTGAGCTCACTGGCCAACAAGATGGAGGAACTCCAAGCCCTTTCAAGGACTCAGCCAGAGTTTCGGCAGTTTCGGAACCGCTGGAGGAGATAATGCAAAGAAGGATTCTCCAGAGAATCAAGAACATGATGGACAACCCTGAGCGTTCTCTTCACAAGACTGTCCGACAACAGAAGAGTGTCTTCAGTCAGAGGCTTCTTCAGTTTGGCTGCAACACTGACCGCTACTGGAGATCCTTCCTGCCAACAGCCATTGTAATGTACAATAACTCTTTGATGACTTGATTATTATTATTATGAGCTACTACAGCAATCCTCTGGGATTAATAAAGTATTTTTGAATTGAATTGAAAACTGCCGGTATTCCTCCTGATCCTTTCGGATCAGAGAATCTTCATTCCCTACGTTGTAAGAAACAGAAGTTTCCTACTGCCTCACTTGCTAATGCTCTTTGACACCATCATTCTACTTGATTACACCTGGAGGTGCTTGGTCAGGAATCCACAGCCTGCACTGGTGATAGCTGGGGGTGTTACGCGTTATTCCTGACGTTCTTTTCTTGATATTGTGTCTCTCTCCACTTTTTGCGTTTTCTGTGCTTTTCTCGTTCATGGATCTGTTTCTTCCTGCCCGATTCTAAGTGCTCCTCTTGGTTGGCATCACATCGAGCACCAAGTAGTGGCTGCTAAGCTCCCTGTCAGTATGTCATTACATCATGAAACAGAACATAAGTTAAAAAATGAGGTAATTTAACTTCTACAATCTAATCAGGCAAATAGCATTATAGCAAATAAAATTTATAACAAAAACATTTAATAACTGGAGTCTACTCACTCGTTCCTGGTGGCCAGTCTCATATCAAGAGTAAC